AAAGATCCTTGTACCGTCAATTATGAAAGAAAAAAGAATAATGAGAAAGAAAACCTTGCCGCGGTAGAGGTGGAGATAAGAGTTAGTTTAGTGTGGGGTTTTACGGGAAACTGTTAAAAAGACGGGGAATAGGAACACGACTTCAAAGAAGAAGGGGAATAGAGGTGGGAGTCGTTGGTATTCCATTGCGTGAACCCTGGTTTTGAGAAAAGGGGGAAAACATAATTATTTGATTTCTTATCATCGTTGTCAATCGTGATTAGTTCACCTGGGAATTTAATCTTCCAAAACTTCGGCTTTGTCGGGATTTTACTTTCTGGATTACGAGTATTAGTATTTTGAGACAAAAAATGTGTTTGATCTAAAGTGGCGGATACACAGTGTTGAATACCAGCGAAATGCTACCGGACTGGATGAAGGGAGGAAAGAGTTGGGGGGGGAGTAGTGGTAAGAACACTGTTGATGAATTAACAATCTGTGAAGGAATAGAAAGACAAACAGACACAAAATACGGACGAAATACAGACGGGCAAGCACAGAATGGCTAGAATCATCATTATACGCCTAGCATTTGACCCCGGGCAATCCGTTAATGTTGCTTGGGTAACCTAAGTCATCCTCGAGACAGATTGGCCGTCTCTTGACCCTGCGATATCGTCTCAAATAGGCCAATCCTTGTCTAATTCCAATAATTCCTCATCTGCAAAGCTCTACCTTCCAAGAGGTACAAGGAGATGGAAAGCGACCTCGGCGACTTTCGATGGCGTCGCCGACTTTCGATGCCCCCCCTCCCCCTCCCAACGAACACTACACTGCCGCAGGCAATATTTTTATGTATTCTCCTCATGTTCAAAAACGTACTCAACGAATGGAGTCATCAAAATACACTTTATCAACAACCAAGCGATGTAGATGGCAAGAAACAAGAGAGAGAGAGAGAGAGAGAGAGAGAGAGAGAGAGAGAGAGAGAGAGAGACAACAGTAGAATATCATTGCTCATGTATGGCCTACCTGGCGTAATCACTATCTAGTTACTTATTTCCTCAAGCAAAGCTCGGATGCTTGCCTTCTTACGTGTGTGTTTCCCCGTGGGTGTGCTGATTCTCCTATTCCTAATTAACTGATGTTTTCTGCGTTGTATTTCATATTAAATAATGAACATCAGAGCATTAACATTTTCTTTTCTCGTAATAAACAATTAATACGTTTTGGTTGTGCGTGTCAAAGACTTATCAGATCAAAAGCTTTCACTCTTGTATAATATGTGTATTGTTGCGATAAAATCTTTCTAACGCAGTACCACTTCGCTTAACTCTATTAAAGCTCACTATTCAGAGCGCTGATGCAGTTGTGGCTTGCTCTTCATTTGACGGTAATGGCACTGCCCATGATATGAACATTTCGCACTCGAATTTTTGGAGAGGGGGGGGGGGGTATGAAGAGCGAAGAGTAGTGCCCATTGCAGTGCGCCACCTTGGATACAATGTTAGTCCAAGCCAATGTAATAAGTGGAGTGAAGTTACGTTCTCCACATTGAATTTATGTATCCAGCACGTCACCAGCTCTTATCTCGACTTCCCTGCACCGGTTATTATGTTACTTACTTAAATCCCCACAGCGTTCACTGTAATTATAAAATGTTATCTGCCAAAGTGACTGCTTTTGACTCAATAATTTTCACGCTATGCTTTTTGTGTGTATGTGAACTGAAACGTCTAACGTTAAGCCTTTCATAGTTGGGAAACAGCTTCAACTCAGCATAACATAGAGAGTCTCATTTTTGTCTCGGAAACGACAGTTTAATATTGACATGATAGAGACTCGCGTCTTCGAAATAAATAGACACAGAGAGGAAGAGGGCCACGCGCTCTTTGGAACAGACTTATTATGTCGTTTACCGCTGCAAGAATCGATAATTCTTTTTGAACTGAGCAGTCCGTGAATGTGACCCTAAACCCCCCCCCCCTAAAACAAACATATAACAGAAAATAAAGGAAAAGGTATATGAAAACAGAAATGTAATTGAATGTTATGAGTAATGATGTAGAAAAGCCACCACGATATAGTTAATCGACGGCTCTATAGAGCTCTTCAAAAGTTAAATTTGAAGAAAAAAAAGCAACTAACAAAAATTTACAATCACTGGCTGGCATTGAACAAAATAAAGAGCCAAAGTAGAACGTTTTTTCTTTTAAAAGCAGGGACAAAGAAAAATGAGTAAAACAAACAACAGCATACTAGGAGACCATTTATTTTCAGACAATCGCCTCAACTTTAATTATAGTCTAGCACAAACTTTTGTCATTAAACACTTCTAAACAGCTTTTATGGGAGAGAGGTAAAGGGGACGTTTGGTTTGGTATGGGAAAAAAAAGAAAAGGGTGGGGTGGGGTGGGGGGGTTCTCGTTGGTCGAGCCTATTGATCAGTTTATCGATTCGTTTATCGATCACTATCGATCAAGGCATCGAAGTGTTTGTGTCTTCCTGACCGTCGCTACACATAATATAGGCACCACCGAGCGCAGGCAATTTGCTGAGCTCTTGGCGAGGTTTCAATCCCTTTACGTCCACGGTATGGGTTTATCTGAGAGGTCTTGTCGTAGAGGACCTTGCCGTGACACGCAAGAGATTTGGGGTTTGTGTTTCTTCTGCCTTGTATTGTATGGCGCGAGAGCTTGAGAGGAAGTGTGCGAAATAAAGTTAATGCTCCCCTTGTTTTATAGTTGTGATTAAAGCAAGGACGCTTAATGTGGAATCCCCCTCTCCCCCCCTCCCCCCTCTCTCTCTC